ATTAAATGATCTCATCACAGAATAACAAAAATATGAATACAATTTTTTGACATTGTGATTTTTGGGTTCCATACTAAGACCAAACAAATCAAGATGGTGACAGAAGGACATCAGTGTCTAGGATTTTGATCAATCTTAAAATCAAGAAGCTGATCCAAAGGATATGTGTGTTAAATTTAACTAAATTTGGTCTAAGATTGTCTATATATGTAGCAAACGATAATCTAACTTAATAAGTGAACATATTACAACCTATTTTAATAATACGAAAGTTCTCCTTAATCCAGTGGTACAGGAGAATTATCTGTATTCTGTCAATCATGTATTTTAATAAAATGCTGATTGGCCAGACAGGAAGTAGAGATGGGTCAACCAGACAGGAAGTAGAGGCGGGGCAATGAGAACAGGAGAAGGCTAGGAAGGAGGAAGCCCATTCCTCCATTCCTGCCCAGACCACAGAGAAGCAAGATGTAACCTGCCATGCTGGAAAAGGTACTGAGCCACATGGGTTACACAGACAAGAATTATGGGTTACCATAAGATGTAAGAATTAGTTAATAAGAAGACTGAGCTAATGGGCCAATTAGTTTATAACCTAATGTAGACTGTGTATGATTTTCTTTGGGACTTGCTGGCTATGGAGTACTGGGTGGGACAGAAACCCCAGCAAGTCAGCCCTCATGTTACAATCCAGTCTTTCTTTCAAGTTTCAGTCAGCTGTTCTCAAAAAATTACATTTAAAATTCTAGGAATGAGCAATTTTGTGTTTTAAATAATTTTGATTGTGTGTGTTGTTTTGATTGTCTTATTTTACCAATATTTTTATTACTAATTATTGGTTTTATTGGATTGAGAGATGCTTGGAGGGTAGGAAAGGCTGTACACTTCTCTGAAATCATCTGTGAAAGCTCTGACCTAACCAATGGCTTCAAGGATTCAAAATTTGAAGACAATATTTAATTGGGAGGTCAAGAAACTGTGTAAAATGGTGCCTAGTTGGAGGAAGTGGGTCACTGAGAGTGTTGCTTTGAAGGGCACATCTTGACCCCAGTCTGGTCTCTCTCTTTCTCTCTTTCCTGACCATTATCAGGTAGGAGATAAGTGGCCTCTGCCAATATGCTCCCATTTCCATAATGTTCTGCTTTGTTTCAGGCCCAAAACACTGCAGCCAAACATGGGCTGAAAACTTTGAAACCATTAGACAAAATAAATATTTTCTTCTTTAGACTCTTCCCTTTTGGTTGCTGTTAATGATAAGTGTGACAAACATGTATAGTTATGAAAGTACATAGTTAGGAACTATATACATGGTATCTGTTAGAGATAAAGGGAGACAACTCTAGTAATTTCATTCTTGTCATACCAGCTGAGGTTCAGAAAACTACAGGCTGTAAACTGGTCAGACAATGCCTAAACAACACGAACCACAAGCTGTAACCAAACATGATAATTTTGTACATCATTTCTATGTTCTATTTATAAATACTGATTGCCTGTGTGGTGGGGGTAGAGCTCTCTGAACCTTTTCTGATATGGAAAGTTGTCAGATTCATGAGTTGTTCTTCAATCAAATAAGTGGTCCTAAATTTATCTAATCCTTTTAACAGTTTTAAGGACCATTTTGACTAACACAAATTCAAATTAGTAAGTACAGCTTGAGCTTGAACCTTTCAAGAACTTTTAAGGTCTGAGTAGGATTAAAAAAACAATTAAAATTTCAATAAAAGTGTTACTAAAACTAAGATGTCAACACAGAAATAATATTGGTTCCAGATAATGATTCCCATACATCTTTCACTCCAGTAGCCCATATAAGACATGATGGTAAGTTTGCCTAGATCACGAGTTGGCAAATTCTTTTTATATATTTTTTTAAAAATATTTATTTATTTATTTTATGTATGAGTGCTCTATCTGCATGTATGCATTTATGCCAGAAGAAAGCATCAGATCCCACTATAGATGGTTGTGAGCTACCATATGATTGCTGGGAATTGAACTCAGGACCTCTGGAAGAACAACCAGTACTCTTAAGTACTGAGCCATCTCTCCAGCCCCCAAGCAAATTATAATCCACAGAACCAATCTTGCCTCCTGTTTCTGTAAATAAATTTTTACTAGAACACCAGCATACACATTCATTTATTTATTTTTTGTGATCTGTGGCTACTGCTACTTTATAAAATTAGGATTTAGTTGCAGACAGATTATATATGTCTCAAAAATAGCTGAAAATATGCACTGTATGATTTTACATAAAAATAATTTTAAGCCCTGGCTTGGATTATAAACAATGAAGGCAGGGGTAAATGAATGTGCATATTATTATTTGTAAGTTGAACACAAACAAGCTTAGTATTTTCTAGGAGCAGAAGAAAATACCATTGTGGGTTTTTTTTTCTATTTAGTATCCTAACACATTGTTCCTAGGTTATTTGGTTGTTTGGATTTTGGCCTTTTGTTTTAGACAGGTTCTCATTATGAAAAAGTGACTAATTTCAAAATCATGATATTCCTGACTAGGTCTTCTTATTGCTGAGATTACAAATCTGTGAAATTATGCCTAGCTGTTCCTAGGTTTTAATCCATCCATATATTTACTCATTCCTAAAATATGTTCTGTGCCATACACTATGTAAGTTCATACACTATGTAAGTTGTTTTACACACACACACACATATACACACATACACACACACACACACAATCAAGAAAGTCAACAAGTAAATAATTTATTTCCTTCCTTCCTTCTTTCCTTTCTTTCTTCTTTCCTTCCTTTCTTCCTTCCTTCCTTTCTCTCTTTTTTTCTTTTTGAGACAGGGACTCTCTATGTAGCCCTGACTGTCCTAGAACTTGCTATGTAGAGCAGGCTGGCCTTGAACTTTACAGAGATCCTCCTGCTTTTACCTTCCAAATTCTGGGATTAAAGGCATATGCCACCATGTCCCCTGACAAGAAACTTTTCTTCTACTATCCATTTACTATTGATCAAATTGTACCTGGACTATGTCCTGCCTGGTTATTCATACTTCCTCTATTTCAGCCAATAAAGTATACTGAATTTTAAGATTACTATCTTAACAACAGATAATACTAATACTGCTTGACAGACATAACTTTCCATGCATGGTCTCATTTAATCATTATAGTCTTGTGAGATAGATACTATTATTATACCAACATATGAAACAGGACATTGACGTTCAGAGAAGCAAAGCCTTTTGACCAAACTTGTAGGTGTGCTCCACATAGATGCATTCAGGATATCTACCTTGTCTCCCTTATTTGCTCTGCTTCTGGGGAGCATCATGTACCAAAGGCACCCACCATCACGGCTGCTAAGGCATAGGTTTATAATAGCAATATTTGAATCCATGTATTATTTTCTGGAAGCTCTTAGCATGGTTTATTACAGATTGTTGTCAAGTATCTAGAACCAATGAAAATATTTTTTTCTGAAGTAACTCTTTTGAGGTTTTTACTTGTTTTTTTTTTTAATTATAGTTCCCATTGTATACGATTGACTTAGGTTTTAATCTCATCTTGGAAACTTAACTTCCATGTGATCTTAGTGAGATTGATTAACTTATCTGTGCCTTAGTTGCCTTACCCCTAATGTACAAATAATATAATCTTCTTTAAATATTTATGATAAAACAGGTCAATATTCAGCAGTTAGTGTCAGTTTCATAAAAGTTCTTTACTATTATAATGGAAAAATTCTCAGAATCAAACTTTATCAACTTCATGTCTTTTCTTGGGGACTTTATAATCAATTTCATTTACTGATCTCATTCACTACTGCCAGGTTCCTTCATATTACCAGACATTTGATCATGCTTTCTTTCTATCTGGAATATTCTCCTTTTCTTATTTGCCTGGCTCCCACTGATTTGTTCTTTAAGCATAAAATTACAAAGGCATGAACTATGTCCTGGTTTTGATCATTATTTTGTACTCAGAGATCATTGCAAAGTTTGACATATATTAAGAATCCATATTTGTTGCATGAATGAATAACAGTCAAATTAAATCTAGATTTTCATTTTATTTAGTTATTCTTCTTAGCATTAACTCACATTTTGGGTATAATCTTTAGTGTGTATATTCAGTGACCTTAGGCAATTCTTAACAGATATTAAAGAATATATCTTATGCTTGGAAATCAGGATTGAAAAATATTTCTTTTTGTATTTGAAGAATACAAAAGTTCAAAATGCTGCTTGTTTACTGCAAGGTAGAGATATGCAGAAAGAGAAATTATAGTCCAGAATAATTGGTATGTGAAGCATATGGACTCAGTGGTAAAGTAGAATATATATTTATATAGAAAATAACAGTGCAAGAATCACAGAGGAATACCTAAATTGAGTTTTTAAAAAAGACTATCAATTTTCCAAATAACTGCAGACAGAAAGAATTTCAGGATAAAACCATTGAGGAATATTAAAAGCCTCAGCGATAATGAAAATGTTTTCTTCTTCTGTTGATGTTGTATTGGCAAACTATTTTCTTTTGTACCTTTAAGACATATTATTTCATGATTCATTTCTTAGTTTTTTTATTATGCATTATTATTAAATTTCATTCACACAAGATTGCTCAATCCTTGTGGTTTATTCCTCTTCTAAGGCTCAGTATATTAGCACTGTAACTGGGCCTTTGATTCAAAATGCTCTTCCAAATGTATGGAAATCCAATAGGTGTGACACATGGAAAGATGATGTAAGAAATTTAGATCTTACAGTATACTACTATTAATATTAGCATAGCCAGATTATAGAAGAGCACAGAAATAGCAGGAAGTTTACATGCATTTTAATGTCCTGGACCCCTCTTTCTCTTATTATACCTCCAAACCTGTTTAATGAAACTAGAGCACTTGACTGATCTTTCTGGAATCTAGTCTTTAAAGGCGCCCCCGTGAGGCACCCACTCCTGCAAGACCGGAAGGAGAGTAGCGGGGCGGGGCTTTAAGGTTCTCGGCAAGGCTAGAGCAGGCTGGGGGAGGGGGAACGGGAGTCAGTCGGCTTTGGGGGCAGGGTAGTAAAAAGCAAAAGGAGTGACTAGGCTGCGCTCCGGCCTCTCTGCTTGATTTTGTCTCCGCAAACTTCTGAGTCGCAACCTCCAGCACAGGTAGGTGCCGCTCCTCGGGTCTGGGAAGGGGTGTCTTAGGTGGCCTGGACCCACGGGTTCACCTAGTCTTGGGCTTTGGGGCCTGGCATAGTGGGCAGTGGCGGCTCCAATTGTCATCCCAGGGTGATTAATACTAACTTTACACTGGCTGAGGAAGACATTTCTTTCCTTGCTGCAAGGTTGTTCTCACGATTTGTGCTAGTTTTGCAACACAGCCCTGGAGATCAGCATAGGGCCTTTTGGGGCCTACCTAACACTGAAACAGCTGAAGCAAGCTGCGCTTGAGAATGACACCCAATATACATGTTTTCAAACTCTATTAGACCTTCCAGTCCTGAATCCACCACTCATTTGGTCTCTACAGTTTTGCATGCCTCATTTTGCTCAGCCATGAAGCTTAGGGAGGAACCTTGCTTTTGGAAGAATTTACAGCTCTGATGTCCTTCTCTCACTTTCACTAATGTTCTCTGACCAGATTTTTACCCTTAGTCTGCCCCTCTTACCCAGATCAAGGCTGTCAGTGTAGTTGCAGAATAAGTCTTGTGAGAAGGTAGGCTAGAAACCTTTCTTTTTGTCCTGACAAAACAAACAAACAAACAAACAAACAAAAAAACCAAAAAACTATGAAGAACCTTTCTAAACTATTGGAAACATTCATTTAGTGCACGAATTGAATATCAACTCTAAAATGCTCTTATGAATACTTTATTAGTAAAAAAAAATTAAACAAAATTATTGCCCAAAATGTTATGTACTGAATGAATATAATATACCACCAGTAAGTTTCATGAAAAAAAAATAGTTTGAAATTTCACTAATTAATTACTGAATTAAATGAATTAAATGCTGAACTCTCCTATTTAGGAACACTTCAATAATTCATTCTCCTACAGTGATCTTATTTTATTGTTGTATTTTAGCAGGATATACTCTGGTTAAAACTTAAAAGCAGTTCACTTTACATTAGGTAAGTGACTACAAAGATACAGAAGTAATATGAACTCTTTGGACAAATACTGGGACTTCCGAGTCGTCCTTATTGTAGAACAACCATGAAAAGAAAATATAATTTACCACAATATTAAAGAAGTCATACATTATCTCATAAGCAGTGTGATGAACAGAATATTCACTCTAGTAGAGTTTGGGGACTTCTACTGTGTGTTCCTCCTACTTCTTTCTTGAAAATAAAAACTGGAACAGATAGAGAGCTTCCTTGTCTTGGTGTCTGTCTCAGGAGTCAGTACTACTCTGCCCCTGTTTGTCAACTCTGAGAATGGCAGCAAAATATCCATTCAGTGTCTAAGCTTTTTCTGGCAGCTGTGTTTTCTGCCTTTTAAATCTGGGGCATGAGGACCAAATTCCTGAATCAGTAAACCTCTTTGTTCTTAGGATTCTTTACCTGGTGATCAAAACTCCACCAGTTGAGTCCCACTATGACCTTTTCTACAACACCAGGCACCCTTCGTGTTTATTTGAGCTGTACATAAGCCTCCTATTGTCCCATGTAAAGACTGAAAGCAATGAGAGAATCATGGGAAAACCCAGCCTGTGCCACACCTGCGAGTTCTAGGCAAGAAGTGACTGATAAAGAAGGGAGATGTTCTTCTGAGTGAGAAAGTGAACAAATGGCTTCTTAAATGGTCTCGGGGGTGGTGCTGAACATCTGTTGAATGGTCTTGAGGGTGACTTTACGCTTGATTGTTTGGAAGGACCCACTGGTGACTGTTTTGTTAGCCATATTTTTGCTCTTTTAATCTTTTTTCCTGTATTCCTCATACTCCGTTTAGTAGTGAATGCCAACTTTGTCTAGGAGGACAACCCACTTACTGCCCTTAGGAGCATAGAAATGCAACATAGGAGACAGGATCTTAAACATGCTCAGTTATGAGACATCCTCACCCTTCTCCATCATCTGTCACTTCCACATCATGAATATTTTAAAAATGATTCCATTTCTCTTCTACCCTCCAAATTTCAAGCCAGCAAAATGTAATCAAAATACATTATATTCATATATAATTATATCATATTGAAGCTCCTTTGTATAATTTGCCAGACATTTCTGAAAGGGCTGCAACATTTTTTACATTCAGAAAATTCACATTAACCACCATCTGTGTATGAGAAATTTGAATTATTTTTGCCCTCCTCAATTGCATTACTTTTCCTTTTCAAAAACAATTAATGGCTAATATCCACATACAAATAAATACATGCCATATGTATCTTTCTGGGTCAGGGTTACCTCACTCCAGATTTTTTCTAGTTCATCCATTTGCCTATGAATTTCATGATGTCATTATTTTTAACAGCTGAGTAATACTCCATTGTGTAAATATGCCACATATTTTTAAATCTATTCTTCTGTTGGGAAACATCTAGGTTGTTTCCAGTTTCTAGCTATTATGAATAGAACAGAAATGAACATGGTTGAAAAACAGTCTTTGTGGTAGGATGAAGCATCCTTTGGGTTTATGTCCAAGAATGATATAGCTGGTCCTTGAGGTAGTTCGATTTCTGTCTTCCTGAGGAACTATTGCACTGATTTTCATAGTGGCTATACAAATTTGCATCCCCACCAACAATGTAAGATTGTTCCCCTTACTCCACATCCTCACCAGTATGAGCTATCATTTGTTTTATTGACCTTGGCCATTCTGACTTGTGTAAGATGAGATCTCAACATAGTATTGATTTTCATTTCCCTAATGGCCAAGAATGTCAAACATTCTCTAAGTGTTTCTCAGCAATTTGAGTTCCTCTTTTGAGAATTCTCTGTTTAGATCTGTACCTCATTTTTTATTATTTATTCTTCTCTCATACAGTATATCCTAACAACAGCTTCCCCTCCTTCCACTCCTTCCAGTTCCTCCACCTCCCCTCTCCACCAGATTCATTCCCCTCATTACCACCCCCCCAAAAAAAGAAATAATAGCCCTTCCAGGGACATCAACCAAGCACTGAATAGCAAGAGACAATAAGATCAGGAATAACCCCTCACATGAAGGTTGGGCAAGGCAACTCACTAGGAGAAAAGGGTTTCAGGAGCAGGCAAAAAAAGTGTAAGATACCCCCCACTTCGACTGTCAGGAGTTATCCTGAGAAACCAAGCAAACAGCCATAACATATAAGCCAAGGACCTAGCGTAGACCTATGCAGGCTCTGCAATTGCCACTTCAGTGTGAGCCCCCCTGAACCCTGCTTAGTTGATTCTGTTGGCCAGGCTCTCCCACTGTCCTCAATCCCTCTGGCTCCCACAATTCCTCTTCACCTTCTTCCACAGGTATATCCCATTTTAGCTGGATTTTTTGTTTTCTTGTTATTTAATTTTTGAATTCTTTATGTATTTTGGATATTAGCCTTTTATCAGATGTTTAGATGGTAAAAATTTTATCCATTCTGTAGGCTGCCACTTTGTTGGAATGACAGTGTCTTTTGCCCTGCAGAAGCTTCTTAGTTTCATGAGGTCCTATTTATTAATTGTTGATCTTAGTGTCTGTCCTAACAGTGGTCTGTCCAAAACATTTTTTTCCTGTGCCAATGAGTTTGAGGATATTCTCCACTTAATTCTTCTATCAGGTTCAGTGTATCTGTTTTTAATGTTTATGTGTTTACCCATTTGGAGTTGAGTTTTGTGCAGGATGTTAAGTATAAGTTTATTTGCTGTAATGCTCTTTCTTTGTTCTTTTCGGTATTGGGATAATTGTGGCCTCATAAAATGAACTGGGCGGTGTTCTTTCTGTTTCTATTTTGTAGAATATTTTGAGGAGTATTGATGTTAACTCTTCTTTGAAAGTCTGATAGAATTCTGCATGCAAACCATCTGGCACTGGGCTTTATTTATTTATTTATTTTGGTTAAGAGGCTTTTAATAACTACGTATATTTCACTAGGATATAGTTTTATCTAAATTGTTTTTCTGATCTTAATTTAACTTTGGCAAGTGTTGCCTATCAAGAAAATTATCAATTTCTTTTAGATTTTTCCAATTTGATGAGGTACAGGTTTTTAAAGTATGTCCCCATGATTCTCTGGTTTCCCATGGTGTCTGTTGGTATGTCTCCCTTTCATTCCTAATTCTATTAATTTGGATATTCTCCCTCTGCCTTTTAGTTAATTTGGATAATGGTTTGTCGATCTTACTGATTTTTATCAAAGAACCAACTCTTTGTTTATTGAATTTTTGTATTTTTTTTGTTTCTATTTTATTGATTTCAGCCCTGAGTTTATTTCTTGCTATCTACTCCTTTTGTGTGTGATTTCTTTTCATTCTAGAGCTTTCAGGTATGCTGTTAAATTACTAAAATGAGATCTCTCCAAGTTTTTATACAGGCACTTAGTGATATGATCTTGTCTCTTAGAACCACTTTCATTGTGCCCCATATACTTGTGTATGTTGTGTACTCCTTTACATTTAATTCCAGATAGCCTTTAATTTCTTAATTTCTGACTTAACCCATTTTTCATTGAGTAGAGAGTTCAGTTTCCTTGAATTTGTAAGCTTTCTGGTGTTTTCATCCAGATTTAATATGTGGTTGTCAGATAGGATGCAGGTGTTATTTCAATTTTCTTGTGCTTGTTGGAACTTGTTTTGTGTGTGAGTATGTGGTCAATTTTGAGAAAGTTCCATGAGCTTCTGAGAAGATATTATGTTTTTTTTTTTCTGTTTGGATGAAATGTTCTGTAAATATCTATAACGTCCATTTATTTTCTAACATTTGTTAGCTCCTGCATTTTTCTGTTTAGCTTTTGTCTGGATGATGGGTCTGTTGGTGAGAGTGGAGTATTGAAGTTTCCTTCTATCAGTGTGTAAGGGTCAATATGTGATTTAAGCTTTAGTAGCATTCTTTTACAAGCTTGGGGGCCCTTGTGTTCGGAGATGTTAAGAATTACAATGTTCTCTTTGATTTTTCCTTTGATGGTCATGTAGTGTCCTTTCCTATGTCTTCTGATTAATTTTGGGTTGAAGTCTATTTTGTCAGATATTACAGTGGCTA